CCTGAAAGGAGGGTGGAGAGAGGTGGGGGTTGGCCTCTTCTCCCAAGGGAATGATGACAGGAGCAGAGGAAATGGTCTGAAGTTGGGGCAGGGGACGTTTAGATGAGATTTTGGGAAGAATTACTTTACTGAGAGGGTTGTCAGGCATTGGAATGGATTGCCCAGGGAGGTGGTGGAGTCACCATCCCTGGAGGGATTTAAGAAACATGTAGACATGGCTCTTCAGGGCCTGCTCTGGTGCCCAAGGTCATTGGTTTGTGGTGAGGTGTTGAGTGTGGGGTTTAGTTGGTGGGTGCGGTGGTTTTGGTGGGCGTTTGGTGTGGGGTGGTTTGTATTTGTTTGGTTGGGTTTTTTTGGTTTTTTGGTTGTTTTTTTTTTTTTTTTGGTAGGCGCTTGAGATTTGGAAAGTGGGTTTTTTTTTTGGGTTTTTTTTTCCTTGGTTTCCTAGAACTTTTGGTGTTGGGATAGGTAGCATTTGCAAATTTCAGTTTACTACTGCTAAAGTGGGGGATGGGGACAGGGATGGGGACAGGATGGGGACAGGGACAGGGACGGGGACAGGGACAGGGACAGGGACAGGGATGGGGATGCTCCTGCTCTCACCCCCCATCCCATCCCCGCTTCCTCCCACCCCGGCCGTGGGGCAGGCACCGGCTGCTCTTCCCGCTGGGAGCACCTGCCATTTCCTCGCTCTTCCCGTTGCTTTCCTGACCCCCCCGTCCCCGCTCCCAGGGGGGTTCGGTGGGAAGAGGAGAGACAGGACAGCGGGGTGCCATGGGGTTCCATCCCTGGGATGCCTTGGGATCCCACCCCTGGGATGCTGTGGGATCTCATCCCTGGTGTGCTTGAGGTTTTCATCCCTGGGATGCTGTGGGATCTCGTCCCTGGGATGTTGTAGGGTTTCATCCCTGGGATCCCACCCCTGGGATGCCAAAGGATTTAATCCCTGGGATACTGGGGGGTTTCATCCCTGGGATCCCATCCCTAGGATGCCGTGGGATCTCATCCCTGGTGTGCTTGGGGTTTCATCCCTGGGATGCTGCAGGATTCCATCCCTGGGATACTGGGGGGGTTCATCCCTGGGATACCATGGGATCTCATCCCTGGGATTCCATCCCTGGGATGCTGAAGGATTCCATCCCTGGGATACTGGGGGATTTCATCCCTGGGATCTCATCCCTGGTGTGCTTGAGGTTTCCATCCCTGGGATGCCGTGGGATCCCATCC